CTGTCTACTTTTTTATAAGTCAAATATTAGGCATCTATATATCTAAATATAATGAAAAATATAATTAATTATTGTGTATTTATACAATAATTATTGTGGTAATTTAATTATTCAATTAGCGTTTTGGATTTTTTATATTGTGTGAAAGACAAGTTACATTTTTCTACTATTCTTTATATATTTTTTACTTTATATGTCTTGGGTCTTGGGGGGGGGGATTGACCCCCCAACCCCCCTGAGTTCGCCACAGATTCCGAGTCAAAATTGTAATTTACAAAAAAATCGTAGTGCAAATATTTTACTTGGAAAGGGATTTTTGCGCGTGTTGGCTATTGATTTATATTCCCCTGGCAAATAGATCTCTCTTTGTAACGAAGATATTTTGCCTACCACAGGGGGCATTAATACGGAAGATAGAAAATTGGGGAGAAAAACTAAAGGGGTGGAGATAAGGCAAGCAAAATAATCGCTACTGATGCGAACGGCACTCAGGGTTTCGTAGGAGAGCTGGGGTCGTGGATAAGTACAAGATAGGGGCATTGGAATGGGGGAACTACAAAAAAAATAAATAAAGGGCTCTTGGGATAAACAAAATAAAAATAAACAAGAAACACCTCAAGGAATTTAATATAGGGCGCCACTTGAGGTGCCTAATTGTGCCTATTACAACCACTAGTTGTAACTAGGGAAATAATTAGAAAACAAAATCAAAACCTAAAAAACATATCTTTTTCAAATAAACTCAAAAAGGGTTAGCTCAAAAAAAATAAATAAAATGTTAAGACAACAAAATTTAACCTTTATTTATGTGTCACCACAAACAGTTACAAAATGGAGAAATACAAAATACAAAACTTACGTGTCATCCGCTTACAAACTCCAGGAGTTGGAGATACTACATAAAACTACAAATTTATATGGAGGTTAACCTTGTTTAAAAATAAAACAAACTAATAACCAAAAAAATAATAAAAAACGAGCTGTCATAAGTTAACATTAAATTTCAAAAAAAAAAACTAAACACACAAATTGACAGCTCAACTCAAAATCTAAAATTTACAATTTTAAATGTCAACGAAAGCAATTATTTAATTTAAAAACAAATTGTCTGTCTTTACTTTAAAATTTGATCAAAAAGTTACCTGGATTTTCACTAACAAAATACACTAGAATTTGTGGAACCAGACGCCACTGGAATATCCGACACCATAACTGGAACTGAGGGCTTTACTCTCTGTGTAATGAACACAACTATCTATCTCCATATCTTCATATCTCGAATAAATCTATCTCCATACTGCCAAAAGCCTTGGATGATAACCAGGGAGAAACAAAACGAGGATGGAATCGACGATTCTTCCATTCCTCACTCAAACATTTACTGAACCATTAACTTCACACTGCTACACATTTTCTTCATAAAAAAAGACGAACAAACGTCTTCATAAAAAAACAAACAACGAGGAACATTTCGAATTTGAAGTCAAATTCGGACATAACGTTGACCGCTTTTCACCGCGGCTCCAACGATAGTCGAGAAATTCTATTAAAATTGAACGCATACATACAAACGCTGACATAACAAGACACCACGAAACGACGTATATATCCTTTTGCGACGCATTAACATGAAAATAATTTGCCGAAGTAAAATAAACAACTCTCAAATGGTTTTATTACTCGGCGACGAAACACTTTTGGGTACTTTGAAAGATACGAACTAACAAACACTGGAGAATTCCTCGTTTTATTTTTTAAATATATATATATATATATATATATATATAATATATGTCTTCATATCAAGGCGAGATCCGTTTGTATCATAAGCTATACAAAATGAGATCCGTTTTGCAAGGCGAGATCCGATTTTGGATCTCACCTTGTATTCACGTGTATATAGTGACATCTCGATGTAACAATGATGGGGGTACAAAGAAATCGATTTTTGTCTGGACCTCATTTTGCACCCCTTTTGGTGAATTTTATATTGCAGTAGTTCCACTAAATCCACTGTAGAGGCAGTGCGAGCGATCCGTTGTGTATATGCTAAATATACATTTTGTAGACAACCCGAGATCCGGTAAATTTGGCAACATCGCAAATGAATTTTACAGTCAGACCTCTCACTCCCTTCGGCTTATTTCCGGTTTGAATAATATTATTTACATTATTAAAGAGCTCTGTCCAGAAAAGGCGATTGTCAAATATCTCGAGAACTAGACGTCGTATCGAAAAAACTTAGGAATTCTTTTTTAATGGTTTTTCAAAATCTATATACTTATGCAATAGCGGGGTTCTTATTCTCCCTGCGAACGCGGTGGGTGTAGCAACTTTAAATTTTCAACTGGAACCCTTCATTTTTATTTAAATAAACATTTTGAAATTAGATTAGAACTATTATGGATATAGATATAAAATTAGAATAATTAATTAAATTAGAAATTTAGAGTGTGAATCTATAATAGCTTCTTTAACCAGTGGGAAGAGCTTCAAAATCGTCGTTTTGATGACATTTTTTAGGAGTTAGATGATTTTAA